GATGGACATGAAGGAGAACCCACGTGCCAGTGCAGCAGGGCCAGCTCCCAGCCATGTGATCGTCACCGTTGAGCCATCACCGGAGCCATCTGTCCAAGGGACCGACAGTCCCGAAACCAGGCCCCCAGAAGATCTGCCTCTCCTGGATCCCAGGGGCGGTCGCTCAGCCCCACTGGCCATGGCTAATCCCAGCCCAGTGCCTGCCATGGCCAGTCCCCTCCTCAACGCCGCCACTAGCAAGACACCCCAGCCTGTGACACCACCACCCTCTGAAAACGCAATCGTGGAGACAGGTGAGAGCAGGTCCCAGCCGGCAGGAGATGGCAGCACCACACAGGTGGGCTCAACCCTGGTTGAAAACACAAGGGTGGGTGTTATGACAGGTATCCTGCACAGTGGTGACACTGCCCAGGAGACAGCCCCACCAGTGCCACCCCCCGCCACAGCCAGCATCGCTGCTCAGCCAAGCGCAGCTGCATCACACAGCTATCGTACTGCTAAGCCCACCACGGACATGGACACACGCATGGACTTGGACATGGACATGGACACGTCTTCTCCCACCACAGGAAACAGGGCTGATGTGGTTGATCCAGCCACTGGTGATGCCACCCGACCGGCACGCTCTGTCCCAGGCAGCAAAAGCCCTATGGCAGTGGCCATTGTGGGGACGGTGTCACCCACAGCTCTGGAGCCGGTTACAGCACCTTCCTCTGGCCTCTCTCACAGCACTGCTGAGCCAGATGTTGATGTGTCCCCTCCTGTCCCCCAGAATACCCATCCAGTGGTGTTGGCACCCTCCATCACCTCCAGCATCACCGCCACTGGTCCAACAGTGGGAGCAGGTGATGGCAGTCTCAACAGGGTCACAACCTCCTCTGCTGTCCCCAGCAGTGGCTCAGCTCCAAGAGGTCCCCGTGTTACCCTAAGGCCATCCCCTGAGGTCACTGATAGCATCCATGACTCAGCCTTGAGGACTCTCAGCCCAGTTGCTGAGGACAAGCCCACAGCCAGGATCTCCTTGCTGGCTGTTGACCACACACATGCATGGGAGACTACAGCCGCATCCCAGTCAGATGCTGGGGGTACCACCGCCTGGCCAGACACCACCCCCTCTGAGAGCGGTGCCAGGGGTGCAGCACCCCCAGCCAGCACCTACGTGCCCGTCTCCAAAACCGCTGACACAAGCCCAGCCACCAGCACATTCCCCAGCAGCACCATCCCACCAGCCACCTCAGCTGGCGGGAAGACCTTCACGGTGACCGGGGCCACCGCAGCCATGCTCACTGCCACAGCAAAGGCCGCCAGCACCAGCAGTGCCCCGTCCCTCGCTGTGATGCACGACGAGGTGGGCAGAGGCAGGCGACCTGTCCTAAACGCAGGAGCGGGTACCCCTTTGGTGGAGACAGATACTGGATCCTGGGACATCCTCGGTCCCAGCCCTGCGATGGCAGTTCCCAGTTCACCCCATCCCAGCTTGCACAACCCAGCAGAGGACCCAGCAACAGCCCCCTCATCCCTGGTTGGTGTTGGTGCAACTGGGGAGCCAGCAGCCAGACAGACCCCCACTGAGCCGGCAACAGGCACCACTTCTCCCACGGCCGTCAGCAACCGTGGTGCAGGACAGGCAGTGAGCATGTCACTTCCTGGCTTCCCGACATCTCTAGGAGCATCTGCATGGGGAGAGAAAGCAGCCATCACTGCAGGGAGCAGTACGGCTGTCAATGCAGGGAGCCCTGCGGTCATCGTTGCAGGGAACACCACAGCCATTGCTGGAGACAACACTGCAGCCATCACTGCAGGCAGCACCACCGCCGTCA